AGGGACGTTGAGACAGCGGTGAGCGAAGGACCCCGAGAAGGAGAGATGGTCCTGGGCCGTCGGGCGGGCCCAGGGCAGCCCCAGGGCCCTGATGCGGGGACAAGAGGACAAGAGCGTCAGAGGGGCACCGTGGAGGCGGACGCGAGGCTGTGACTGGGCCGCTGGCCCTGGAGATGGGGCCGGGGCCAGGGGCCGAGGGCGTGGGCCTCTCCCAGAAGCGGAGAAGGCCAGGAAGCCGGCCCTGCCTCCGTACCAGCCCTGCCGGCCCCTGCGCGTGGGCCGCGAGAGCCGCCTCTGAGCCGGCGAGACGGCGCGGCCTTATGGACGGGCGGACGGGCGGATGGGCGGCCGGAGGGCTGGGGGCCTTAGGAGGCCCCTAGGCGCATCCCTCCCGTTCACGCGGGTGGACCGCGCTGCTGCACGCTGGGCGGTCCGCCCCTTGGCTGGACAGCCACGCAAAGGTCAGAGGTCAGGCGCCCCAAACTTCCGAGAGAACCACGAGCCCTGAACCTGTGAGACATGATCCAGAACATGCACCTCAGAGCCTACTGGGATGGACAGGCACAGAGAAAGATCTAGAAGGCAGTCCTGGTCTAGACCCAGATGGCCCTTCTTTGCAGGGAGACTGGGGGCCCCTACCTCCTCCTCACAGGTCCCAGTCCAGCCAGCACCCTGCCCCTGGGAAAGGGGGCCGGGGCGGGGACGGCAAGGAAGGCAGGCCTGCAGGGTCACAGCCAGCTGCGTGGCCCCGGGCCTCCCCGCCCTCCACGCCGCGGCCCGCGCTCACCTCGCACGCTCAGACGCGAGGGTCTGCACAGGCCCGCCGCCCTCGCTCCCACGCAGCCACAGGGGGAGAGGCCCCGCCCTGCTCTGTCTCGAACCTGCGGCCTTGCCGTGGCCTGGGCCGCCCTGGGTCTCCCTCCCAGCCCGCGGGGGGGGGGTGACAGCAGGGCCGTGGGGACCGGCGGCGGGGGGGCGGGGGCGGGCCGGCTGTCCTGGCCCTCCTCTCGCTCCTGGCCACCGGGCTTCCTCCCCCGGCCCCTCTGGGAGGGACCGTAATTAACTTCTTCCTGTTCAGATCAGCGGCCGTTTCCAAAAACATATTTCGAAGGATTATTTTGCAAAGGAAATGTTTTTGAAAAAATCTCCTGTCCCGTCCCAGGCCGGAGAGGTGGGAGACGGGCACGGGGCGGGGTGGCCCTGGGGCCAGGCTGAGCTGGCATGCGGGCCCCGGGCCAGTCCACAGCCGCCCTCCTCAGGCCGGCCCCTCGCCCCACCCCGGGCCTTCATCTAGAGTCTCCCCCTCCTCCACAGCGGCCTGTGAGTGCCCAGCAGAGAGCAAGCGTTTACCAAATGCTGAATGAATGGGTGGATGGTGGATGGGTGATGGATGGGTGGATGAATCGATGGATGGCTGGTGGGTGGATCCTGTGGACCTGGTTGAGGTCTTTCGGGAAAGACTTTTAATCTCAAAAGACAACCCCTCAGTTCCCACTTTCCAGAACCCCAGGCTAAACTCTGGGGCGTGGAGGGCCAGGCCCCTCACGCGGGGCCCTCTGCCTCCGTTTCCCCACCCCGCCCCTGCCCGGGCTTGTGGAGGTGTCAGCCCGCCACAGCTCTGCCTGGCCGCTCCTCAGGCCGGGGAAGTTCCACGGGCTCGGCCAGAGCGGCTGCCGCCCGCAGGACAGTTCCCCACGCCCTGGGGTCCAGGGCAGGGGGGAGCGCACCGTCTGCCAGAGGCTGTGCGCCGGCTGCGGGAGTGTGGCCGGGGTGTGAAGGACACGGAGCGGGGAGGGTCCCGGTCACCGCGTCCTGCCTGCCATTCGCACGCTGTGGTCTTCAGACAAGTCACCCAGCCTCGCCGAGCCTGTCCCCCCTCTGGGAAAACGGGGAGACTAGGAGATGAGGCCTTCGGGCCCCTCTGAGGCTTGTGGGCCTCACCCCTGCACCGACCACCCATCCGACCCCACCTCCTGCTCAGCCGCCCACCTCGGGTGCAGCCCCCCCCCTGCCCTGGGGGCCGGCCTGCCCTGGGGGCGTCTGCTGGAGGCCCGTCTGGGATGGTGCGCGGGGGGCTCTCCCTCCCTCCCTCCCTCCCTCCCTCTCTCTGACCCCAACTCTCACGAGCCTCTACTGGGCCCCGGCCACCCCTTGGCTTTCCTAGCCTTCGCCTTCTCTCGGGGCCTCTCCCTCCCTGTCCCCCACTCTGCCAGGGCTCGAGGGCGCTCACGGCTCTGGGCCCCGGCCCCCCACCCTGCACGGTGTCCTGGAACTGGAGTGAGGCTATTTCAGGAGATGGCAGCCCTCGGGGTCTTGGTGGGAGCGTCGGAGGCCAGCGCAGCCGGCCTGAGCCGATGAGAGACACGTGGCACTGGCCGGGGGTGCTTCAGGGAGCGTGGACCAGGGGCTGGGGACCGCGCGGCCCTCCCATGCGTGCCCTGGCTGTGCTGGGCCAGAGCCCATCCCGAGGGGCTACTAGGTGGGGCAGAACCGGCCCCAGGCTGCTGCCCCCAACCTTCAGGGGGACAGCAGAGGCTCCTCACGTGGCTCAGCCCAGCCTGTCCCGCTCACGGTGCAGCCTCAGCTCACCTCCCCGACACCAGCTCCCCCTGCAGGTCATTTCCCATCCCCTGGTCTCCTGGGCGGGGTCCTTCTCAAAAGGCATCTACGGGCGTCATCACGGTCACAGCGCTGAGAGCCCCGCCCTGCTGTGGCTGAAAGGGTCCCCTCTGCTCCCGCATCTCCACCCCGGATGTAGATTGGAAGCACAGGTGCAATTTAAAGTGTGTCTAGTGGCTGTGATTAAAAATTTAAAAACTTCCCCGGCTGGTGTGGCTCCGTGGATTGAGCGTCAGCCTTCAAACCAAAGGGTTGCTGGTTCGATTCCCAGTCAGGGCTGCAGGCCAGGTCCCCAGCAGGGGGCGCGTGAGAGGCAACCACACATCCATTGATGCTTCTCTCCATCTCTTTCTTCCTCCCTCCCTCTCTCTCAAAATAAATAAATAAATAAATAAATATTTTTTAAAAAATGTAAAAACAAAACAGGCAGGATTAATTTTAATAACATATTTTATCTAACCCAATAGATTCAAAATATCACTTGAACATGCAATCAATATAAGAATCGCTTATGAGATATTCGACATTAATCCATCTTGTATTGTTCACGCTCACCCAGCAGTTCAGACGCCTCTGGGACCTGGAGGCCACGTGGGGTCAGGGGCTGCTGGGCGGGACCGTGTGGCTCCGAGCTCCGTCCTGTCCCGCCTCCTTCCTGGCGTGAAGCACCGTCAGAACACGCCACAGGTTTGTTGCCCGGGTTTCCCTCTGCAAGACTCGTTCTGTGCAGCCCCCTCAGCGACGCCCAGCCCCCATCTGGAGCAATCACTACGGTCCGCTCTCCACACCGCGTGTCGGCTGGCCGCCGGCTCCTGCCCTGCCACAGAGGCCTCCCACTGGCCTCAAGTCTGGCCAGTGGCCTCGGCCCCAGCCAGCCCTTCTGACAAGCCTGTCGGGCTGGTTGAGCTTCCTCAAAGATGGCTGCCGTCACAGGTCACTCACTCTGGGGACCAGGGAGAGCCAGCAGGGAGCGCTGTCCCTCAGCCCCAGCCCCCAAAGCAGCTCCCGAGGGCTATGGAGTCTCTGGGGCACCCCTTGGGCTGGGTCCCCCGGTGACCCTGCAGGCTTGCTCACCAGGGAAAGGCACGTGCTGCCCGACCGCGGCCTTGGTCTCTCCCTTGGTGTCGTGGGCTGGAAGCCCTCGCCCAGCAGGCTGTGCCCGGTCGTGAGGGAGGGGCCCTGTTCACAGACGCTGACCCTGGGGCGGAGCTGGGGCAAGGGGCGGGGATGGCCCACCCCCCAGTCCTGGTGAAGAACACCGGCTCCGCCAGCAACTGCCTGTGGGGAGCCTCAGGTGTGGCGTCTGTAAAACAGGGGTGTGCATGTGTGCGAGCGTGTGTGCACATGTGCCCTGCTTGGGGGTCGTGAGAGCCTGAGCGCTGAGGCCAGGCCGGAGGCAGGCCTCGCGGCCAAGGTCCTCCCCGCGGCCTCTGCAGGGCAGCAGAGGCAGCGCTCAGCACCCGGCAGCCGCCCCCTGTCCCCCGCCGGCCCCTCCCCGCCGGGCTTCACTTTCCCCGCCTGTGTAATGGCGGCCGGGCTTCCCAGCGGCCCTCACTGTTCGGCCTGACCCAGAGGGCACGGGCCAGCAGCAGGGAGAAGGGCGAGCCGCTCTGCGTCAAGGCCACCGGGCGCCCGGCCAGGGGACAGCTGGCCCGAAGCCGTGTCCTGGGCCTGGCTCCGCCCTGCGCGGTGCCTCTTTGACCAGCGCGCTGAGGAGCTCGCGCCGACCTGCTGACCTCTCCGGCGGCACCAGGCCCAGCACGGGCCCGGAAGGGTCTTGGCGGCTGAGGGGCTCTCCAGGAGGACCGCGTCACCCACGGGGGTCAGGCTGCGCGCCTGGGCGGGGCTTGGGACGGAAGAGCGCAGCAGGAGGGGACCGGGCCCAGAGGCTGCGCTCGCGCCCTGCCGCCACCCTCCCGCGTCGCGGGGCTCTGGGGGCGATGGCTTCCTCCTGAGCCTCAGTTCCCTCCTCGTCCGATCGGCCGAGCTGGCCTCCCAGGAGGCGAGGCGGCCCGCCCCAGCCTGGCCCGGGAACGAGTGCCCGACTGCCCTGGGCCGCAGGGGTGCGTCGGACCCTGTCTGTCCTCGACGCCTCCAGCCCAGACTTGCCTCCCAGCTCCGGCCGTCCCTCTCCCTGCAGCACCCTTCCCTGCCGCCTTCTAACTGCTACTCATCCTGCTTCAGGTGCCTCCTCCTCCAGGAAGCCAACCCTGACCACCTTCCATCCCAGCCTGGCACGGGGCTCCGTGTTTAGCAGGAAGATAGCTGGGTCCTGGCTTGGCCACACTCTGGCAGTGTGGCCTTGGGCAAGTGACCCACGTCTCTCTCTGTAACACAGGGATAGCAGCCACACCGCGCTGGCCGGGGGCGGTGCCACGACGATGCAAAAAGCTCAGCCGAGCGCCCGGAACAGCGAGCACCCCCACGGGGCAGGACTGCCCACGGAGCGCCGGGCCTGTGCGGGCGCCGCCTGCCGACGGAGGCCCCAGGCCGAGGGGGCTGCAGAGCCCAGCTGGCCACCCTGGGAAAGACCCCACTGGCTGTGTGTGGACCCTGCTGCCGCCCCCTCCGGAGCCTCCAGGAGTCAACAGCCCAGGCACATCCGGGAGGAGGGTGGACGGGGCCTGGACAGGCAGGTCTGTTGGGGCAGGTCCGTTTGTTCCCACGGCACCAGCTCTGGCTGGCCAGCAGCGCGGCGGGGGCGGGGGGGGCCTGCCCACGCACCCTGACCTGCCAGGCTGGGCTGGGCCCCTCCTGGGCTCCATAACATCAGGGTGCGCCTGCCAGGCTGGGTCAGCCACCTAGAGGGGCCTCTGTGTCCCTCTGTCCGCCCCCCAGCCTCTGGGCCCTTGGTAGCCTGTTGCTGAGAGCTTCGGCCACTCCCGGCTCCCGCCCGCGGGGGCGGGGTCCGAAGCCCAGGCAGGCCAGAGGAGACTGCGGGCCAGACCAGGTGCGCCCTCCGGCCAGGGACAGGTGTCCCATGCAGGTGGCGCCTGCCTCGTCCCAGGGGGGTGTTCTGAGACCTCCGGGCTGCTGTGAGCAGGCCAGGCTCCCCTCCCAGCTTGAGGGCCCTGGGCCACCTGCAGCACCAGCCCCCACTGCGCGGACTGAGGGGCTGCGGCTCAGGAGGGACGGGCCTGCTGGGTCAGCGGGTGCTCAGCCACCAACACCGGGCCCCAGTCCACCCTGGCCAGCAGTACTCGGGCCGGCGCCTGGCACAGCCGGGGCCCAGCACCCCCCAGGCCCCCGACGTCCAGCTGGGTCCCGGGCAGCCGACGCTGCAGGACCCTCCACGGGCACCCTTGCTGACCCCACAGCCGGAGACGCAGGCCCAGGCTGCTGTGCGTGGCCAGGTCTGGGGCCCCAGGCCGCCCTCCCGCACAGGGCACGGGCACAGCAGCAGGGCGGGACCACCGAGCCCAGGGCGCAGCTTGGGGGGCCGAGGCCTGGAGGCCGCCCTGCTGGCAGAAGGCTGCCCCAGACCGCGACCCCAGCGGCCTGCTGTCCCCAGCACAGGGCCCTGGACGCTGGCCGGCGCTGGACCCAGAGCTCAGGCCTCGTGTTCCCACCAGCAGCGGACGCCAGGCTCGCCCCGCCCCAGTCCCCCCGGGCTGGGGACAGGACAGGCAGCCCTGGGCTCTCCCTCCTGCTGGCCACTGCAGCCCCCGATGGCCTTCGGGTGGAGGTAGGTGGGCGGGGGCTAAGGGTCTGCAGCCTCCGGCCCGAGGACTGCCGGGCAAGGCCGGTGCTGCGGGCTCTCTGCTGCCCGGGGCTGCCCCCTGCAGGCCCTGCCAGCGCCTGGGGGAGAGGACAGCACCAAGGGGCGGCCCCTGCGCTGTCCCCACCCCGGGGGGGGCATCAAGGCCATCTCCACGCCCCCTCTGGCCTTAGCATCCCCCGCTCCCCCCATAACAACCAGGTGCGTGCCCGCACCGCCCGCGGAAGAGGCCAGGCCGGCACCGGGTCACCCCTGCTCGGGGGCCCGGGGAAGAACCGGCCGAGGGAGTGCTCGGGCCCAGGGCCGCGCACCCCTGGGGCCGGAGGCTACGTGTGCGCCCAGTCTCCCCGAGGCCGCAGGGCCCGAGCCGCACATGCGTGCCCTCACAGGGACACACCGTGAGCTCCCGTGGGCACACGCACAGCCCCACCCGCGGCACATGCTCGCACTCTTGGGGCACGCTCGCGGCACGCTCGCGCGGCAGCCCGGGGCCGCCTGGCTCTCCTTCAGGCCGGTCCCTGGACGGGCGGCCACCGCTGCCCTGAGAGCGCGGGAGACCGCCGCCCCCGCCCCCCTGCCGTCTGCCCCCCAGCCCGGCCCGCGTGCTGCTCTGCAAGGGCCCCAGCCCGGCCGCCTCCCCGCTCAGCCACCGGCAGCGGCAGGGGGTGGGAGAGGCCCCTCCTCGCTCCCGCCACCCTGGAATGCGCTGACCCTAGCTCCCAGCCTAATCCCAGCGGGGCGCCCGTGGGGCCGCTGACGGGCCGCGGAGCCCACCGCTGAGCCGGCTGGAGCAGGGCGCCAAGAAAGGCTGGAGTGAGGCAGGGCAGGGCGGGGTGGGGCCCAGGCTTGCGGCCCCTGGGGGTCAGGCAGGCCCCCGGAAGGCCAGTGCTGGGCGGGTAAGCCCGTCTCCCTTCCCCCACCTCACTGGACCAAATGGGAGGGTTTGGGTCCTTGGGGGCAGAGGCTGGGCTGGGCCGGGCCTGCCTCGGGGCGTCCTTCCTGCAGGAATGGGGAGCAGCTGTGTTCCTAGGTGTCTGAGGACCTTGAGCAGTGAAGCGTGAGAGCCAGGCGGGCCCTGAGGAAACGGGCGGGGCCGGGCGGCGCCCTCCCTGGTGCCCGAATGGGGCGCCCGCTGAGATCGGAGAGGCCCGGGAGGGGGGTCCCAGCGGGGCAGGGAGGGGCGGGGGGAGCAGCGAGCCTGTCTGCGTGGGGGCGGGGCCCGGCCTCCATCCCAGGCTGCGCTGCCCTCCCGCAGACGTCGCGAGCAGGATGGCACGGCAGGTGGGGGAGGCCTGGCTTGCGGGGCAGGAAGTAGGGCCAGGGCAGGGACCCCCGGTCCCCTGGGCTCCTTCCCCGCAGAGCTGCCCTCTCATCAGACCCTGGGCCGAGAGCCCGCCCCCCTCAGGGAGGGACCACGGCTCCCAGGGCGGCCGGGTGGACGGCGGCGGACGGCCGGCCTCCTCACCCCGGCCTCCGTTGCCACCCCCATCTGCCTGCAGTTTGAAGCCTTCTGTGCAGAGGGCCTGGCCCCGGGCTGGAGGCTGCTGGTGCAGGGACACGCGGACGCTGGAGAGGACAAGTAAGGGACAGCAGCCTCCCCGGGGCTCCTCCCTGGCTTCGGGTGGGGTCGCTCCCCCGCTGTCGGCCGCTCTCCCCACCCTAGGACGTCCCCAGGTTTGAGATCCACTTCCTGTCGCAGACGGGGGACACCGCCCTCCACACCCAGCCCCGCTTCGCCAGCGCCACCGTGGTGGGCGATGCCTTCCAGGGCGGCCGCTGGGGCCCGGAGGAGGTGTCCAGCGTCTTCCCGCTGGCGCTGGGGGAGCCCTTCGAGGTGAGGGGGCCGGAGGCCTGTGCAGGGCCAGGAGGCCCGGCTTGGCGCCCATGGCAGCGGTGTCCCTGGGTCCCAGCTGCACCACTGCCCCCATCTGGGGCCCGGGGGGCCGTCTGCAGGTGAAGGGGCCAGCGCACGTCTCCGGACGGGCGGGTACAGTGAGAGGGCCGCCCCGCCCCAGCTGCCGGACACCCCCAGGGGGGGAGGGGGGCCTGAGCAACAGGGCTCTGTGCGGGGAGGGACCCTCGGGCCCAGCTGGCTGTGCTCACGGGACTCAGAGGGCCCCCCGCCCCCCGCCCGCCCCACGCAGGTGGAGGTCGGCCCAGACGCTCAGCGCTCCCACTCCAAGGGGTGGGCGCCAGGGGCTGCGGTTCGCCCACCGCCACAGGCCGCCGGCCCCCGCCGCCCGGGGGCAGGTGCTGAGCGGCCATGGCCGGCCCGGTGGAGCTGGCCAGGAGGGGCCTGGGCTGACCCCCCGCCCCCGCCCCCCGCCGCCTCCCCGCCTCAGGGTCTCTGCTTGTGCAGGGACCCCAGCAGCCCCGAGGGGCCGTCGGCTTGGTCCCCCCGCCGCCCCCTGTGCTGGGTGCAGCTGGAGCTGAGCTGGGCCTGAGCTGAGCCGTGTCCGGCTGCTGGCAGGGGGGGCGCCGCTGAGCTGTGCCCGACGTCCCCGGAGCGAGCACGGCCGTGGACCATCCTGCGTCCGGTAGGGCCGCCCGGGGCGGGGCGGGGGGGTTCCTGGGCCCCTCCCCAGCTCCACATTCAATAAAGTCTGAGCAGAGTGCAGGGCCTGGCTGCCGTGAGGGGGGCGGAGAGCGGTGTCAGGGGCAGCGGAGGAGGGGGGTGGCTCCCGGCCGGGCCGGAGGTCCAGCCGGCCACCGCCAGGATGCTGGGCTCACGCCCCCAGACAGCCGCCCCTCCGCGCCCTCCGCGCCTGCTTCCTGCGGATGGGGGGGCGGCTCCTTCCTGTTTCTCCTCTCGCACCTGGAAACGGGACGTGCTCCTCTCCTGCGCCCCCGAGCGCGGCGGCGGGAGGGGCGACTGGGCGGCAGGGAGGCCTGAGGGCCAGACCGGGGACCGCGGGCAGTGCTGGGGGTCTCCCTGCCCTGGTTTCCGGCCACAGCTTGTCCGTCACTTCCCTACCGTCTATCACGTCTACCTACCTGTCACCTATTACACCTACGTATCCCCTGTTACATCCATCATATCCATCTGCCGTCTGGCCATCTTAATTAAGTGGCGCTGTCCCAGCTTAGGGCGAGGCCTGACAGGCGTGGCCTTTCGAAGGAGTTATTTGGGAAGGGCAGGAGGTCAGCGGCGGCTCCGGCAGGCGGGCGGAGTGGGCAGGCCCAGCTGTGCAGCCGGCTGCCCGGCCGGAGCCTCAGCTCCTCGGCCCGTGGGTGCTGCGGGCGAGCCTGACTTCCGGGGGCAGCTGGAGCCCCCTGCTCATCGGCAACAGCGAGGCTCGAGTGCGTCGACTCAGACCAACCGCTGGACACAGCCGACGCTGTCATGATGTCACCTGCGTGGGACTTCAGGCCACACACGGATCTGGCCCAAACCTCTTGCCCTCTGAGATTTCATAGATGGGGAGACTGAGGCTGGGTGGGGGAGGAACGCTGCAAGGTGGGGCTTTGCGGGGGAGGGCCTGTCGAGCCCCCTGGGCACCGGAGCCGGACAGAGGGGGGCCCACGGCGCCCCCACCCCCAGGTGAGACAATGGCGGCCCCAGCCTCCAGCCGCGAGGCTTCCTTCCTGTCTCCACTCCCGTCCCGCCTCCTTCGGTGGGTCTGGCCGTCTGTCAAGGGTGGGGGGGCTGGCCACAGATGCTGTGGACTGGGCGCTGGGCCCTGGGAAGCGCCAGGCGGCGGAAGGGGTGACCCCCCAGGGGACCACCCTGGCCTGGCTCTGCGGTCCGGCCGGGCTGCCCCCTGCCCTGGGTGGGCGGCTGCACTCGGAGCACCGGGCCCTGCTCACCGCTCTGGGCCTCAGTTTCCTTCAGACAAAGGCCCCTCCGGAGGAGTACTCCCTCCAGACGCACAGATGCCGGGCTTTCTTTTCTTGGAGGGCTGGGCGTGGGGGGGCCGAGCCTGGGGACAGCCTGAGGCATCGGGTCGGAGGTGCTGGCTGTCTCTGAATTTGCCCGTGCCGTCTCCCGAGAACGGAGCAAGGCGCGGAGCGCCCTCGCCCCACGGACGTCAGCCCGTTCGGAGCAGTCGAGGGGCTTGTCTGGGGTTGTTGCGCCAACCGGGGGAGGAGCCAAACACTTTGGGTCTGACAGGCTTCATGCGGGCACCCTGGGCCCTCGGTGCTGGCCCTGGGCGGAGCCGACTCCGAGGCAGCCCCCTGTCTGCCCCGGGAGACAAGCTGCTATGGGTGCGTCAGACCCTGGGGGCCCCCGATCCCGTCTCCTTGGGCCTCCATCTCCCCACCCATGAAACGGCGTGCAGGGCACTGCGGCCTCAGAGTGGAACCCCTCCCAGATACCTGCCGCCCTCGCACACGGCGCGGGCGCCTTTCTGGCCATCTGTGCTGCGCCCCTGCTCAGCTTCACAGCCTGTGGCCAGAACTTCCAGCTGGCTGCTCAGCTCTGACGACACCTCCTCCAGGAAGCCTTCCCTGCACCCCCACCCCTGCCATGCTGCCTCGCTGGGGGCCGGGGAGCAGCTCTGCCCCGGCCCTGCTGCCCCAGAGCATGCTCCCCTCTGGGAATGTTGGCTGAGGGAACTGCTGAGGAAATACAGGAGTGATCAGCTCAGGGGAAATCACTTAGAGCCTTGAACAGGCTAGAGGCGCGCCCCTCCCAACAGGGGCCATGGGGCTGTGGGGGCTTCTAGGGCACCCCCCTCCCTGGATGCCTGGTTCCTGCACTGAGAGGCGAGAATGAACCCAACCCCTCCTGCTGCGGCATCGCCGGGCCCGCGTTCCCCGGCTCAGCCTGCCTCCCCAGCCCTGGCGCACAAGGAGCCGCCGCAGCCTCCGGCCTGCTCGCTGCTCGGGCTTCTCCTGGACGCTCGCATCCCTGGCTGTGCTTATTTATTCTCCATCCCTGTGGTAATCGCGGTTCACAGATTCACCTGCTCGCAGGCTTGCCGGCTCCCTCCCCCGCGGGTCGGCCGGCTCCGGAACAGTGCCAGCCACCTGTGTGCTCGCCCCCGGATTCCCCAGACCTGGCACATCCGAGACACAAAGAGCCTCTGTTAAATTAACAAATGAATAGCAGCCCCTGCTTGAACCCTGCGAGGGACGGGCAGCTCACCACCGACCTCGGCCGCCCATCTCCCTGCTGCCCGGAGGCAAACCCGAGTCGGTCGGCCTCCATCCCCTCCGCCCCCTGACTCCTGTCCCTCCCCTGCGCCGTCACGGCGCCCCCGGGAGGAGCTCAAACAGCCCCGGACACCCTGCAGAGACCCAAAGACGTCAGCAGGGTGCTGTGCTCCCACCCCGGGGGCTCGGGGAGGTCACCAGGGCGGCCCTGGCCCTGGCAAACCTCCCGGAGGACGTCTGGTGCAGGGGTGGAGCAGACACCGGGCCAGGCATGTGCAAGGAGGCCGTCACCCCTGGAGGGTCAAGTCCACAGGCTCCTAAACCACCAACCGGCCTGAGGTGCCAGGCCCTCACCTGGATGGTCCAGGTGAGGGCTCACAGGCCAGCGGGCCACAGGACCAAGTGAGGCCGGCGAGCGCAGGGCAATAGGGGTGGGTGTAGCCTGTGGCTAACAGGAAGGCACAGGCCCCGTTGCGCTCAGCTATGCACAGGGAAAGCGGGGTTCAGAGCAGGAAGGTCTTCTCATTTTAAAAAATGTGAAGTTAACGTGCTGATACCTGTGTCTTTTTAAAAAAGATTTTACTTATATTATTTATAGATGGCGGGGAAGGGAGGGAGAAAGAGGAGAGAAACATCCATGTGTGGTTGCCTCTGGCGCGCCCCCTACTGGGGACCTGGCCCGCAACCCAGGCCTGCGCCCTGACTGGGAATGGAACCCGCCACCTTTTGGTTCGCAGGCCGCCGCTCAGTCCACGGAGCCCCACCAGCTGGGGTTGATACCTGTGTCTTTAAATACCAGCTACTATCATAAGACCTAAACGAGGTACCTCCAGGGACGACTGGTTGGAGACCTCTGCTCTAAACCCAACTTTTGCCCTGTTTTGTCCCACCGGAAGAAAGGTCATCGATTACCCCAGGGTGGGGGTGCCTTCCCGGTGCCCCACATTCCAGGCCCTACCTCAAGCCTCTTGGGCCGTGAGGAACAGTCTGACCAGCAGAGGGCGCTCCAGATGTGGTTTTCCTTGACCTTCACCCTGGGTTCTGGCGCCAGGGCAGGGTGGCATTTTGTTTCCACCCAACGACATCCGGGGTGCATGTGTGAGTCGGGGGGACAGAAGCTGAGCCGGGAGGGCCAGGCAAGGCCACCCCCACCTGCCTTCCTTACTGCAGAGCCCAGCACCCGGCACCGAGTAAAACGATGGGATGAATAAACGCCACATGGACTTGAGCAGAATACAACTTTCCTGAGCCTCAGCTTCCAGTCCTGTGAGGTGGGAGGCCGTGAGGAGCACACAGCACCTGGCAAGCACAGCGGGGCGAGGTCCACGTGCGCCCCCCGCCCCCCGCCACCAAGGCCCCCGGGGCCAGGCCAGGGCTCCCCACCCGGCCCGCGGGCATCTCCAGCCTGCCTGGTCCCCCGCGCCACCCCCGGGCCAGGACCCCCGCGTCGGCTCGCCGATTCCTGCTTCGGGTGGAGGGCCCCACGCACGCAGGGGCTGCCGGGGGCTTGGCGCTGCGCTCCGAGCGTGTCTCAGACGGACCCGGGAGGTCTCTGCCGCCCGGGGAGCGAGCTTGGCTGGAACGGCAGACGCACGGCTGCCTCTGACCCCCGGGACAGCGCGCATAGCGAGGGCCATGGCCCCCAGGTGCCGCCTGTGTGGGTGCCGCCGGCACGGGCCTGGCAGGGGCCTGCGGCCCATCCCAGGAGGCTCCCGCGGTGGCCAACGCAGCTCAGCGCCGGCCAGGCTGGCCGCCTCGGTGGACCAGGAAGAGGGGAGGGGGCGCTTGGCCTCCCCCGGCCACTCCCAGAAAAATTCAGAAAAGCTGGCGGCCAGGGCTGCGGCCGGGGGGACCGAGCGTGGGGCTTGAGAGCCCTTCTTCAACCCGGACGTTACTTCCCCGCCACTCTTTTGTCATGAGAAACGTCAGAGGCCGGGGAGAGCTGAAACAGTCCCCAGTGAACCGCCCCCGCCAGTCGGGACGAGGGGACGAGGAGCTGTCTTTTCAGCACCAAGCAGCCGTCCACGCCGCCGCCCAGCCCAGGGCGCCCAGGCCCTAGGTGCTCCCGGCGCAGGACGCAAGGCCAGCCAGGCACAGGGGCGGGTGACCCGGGGGCGGGGGGCCTGGGGAGGAGCCCACGGGGCACGAGCAGGCAGGCGGCTGGGTGGGCACGGGGGG